ACTCAGCAGTGCTGGCATTAAAGACGTGTGCCATGACCTTCGGCAGTTTTGCCTATTTTAAAACTAATGAATAAAATCAATATATTTTATCCTCCAGATTTATCCAGATTTCAATTATTAATAATCTGTTTTGTGCTGACTGGTTTTCTGTAAACATAACTATCCATCATATTGATGCTAGGAATGTTTCAGGTTTTAGGTTATAATAAGCAGAGCTGCTCTGAGCATTTTTAATCAAGCTTTGGACACAATGCTTTAATTTCTTCTGGGTTAGAACCTGCCAGTGGAATTGCACTTGGACAGGTGTATATCTGACTTTCTGACAAACTTGCCAGGCTGTTTCCCAGTGTGGCACATTGAATACTTTCACCGTCTCCAAGAATCTTACATTCTTTGCCAACATTTAGCCTTGTTGGTCTTATATTTAGCCATTGATGGGTTTGTAACTATCCCATTGTAGGTTTTTTGTCTTTTGTTTGGGATTGGTTTTTTTGAGACATGGTTTCTCTGTGTAGCTCTGGCTGTCTTAGGACTAGCTCTGTAGGCCAGGCTGGCCTCGAACTCACAGAGATCTGCCTGCATCTGCTTCTGTTTCCCAAGTGCTGGGATAAAGGCTTGTGCCATCACTGTCTGGCCCCATTGTTTTATTTTGCATTTCTATAGTCATTTACAGTGTGGATCATTTCATAAGCTTATTTCTTATTTATGTTTTATAAAACATCTTCAGATCTTTTGCCTATTTATTTAAATTGGTTTTCATTAAAGTAGAATTGTAGGAACCGTGTATTGAAATTTTGTCTTATGGTTTGGTTTTTGTTTTAGTTTATTTTTAGTGTTGGAGGTTGAAACCAGAGATAAGTGTACACTAGGCAAAACTCTGAGCTCTTCACTAGGCAGCATCTTAACCCCTCCATGCTAAAACTTCACAATTCAGTTATTAAAAGCAGGAAAGGGAAGGCTTATTGCTGTACATTAATTCAAATGAAAGGGGCCTGAAGTTATGAGTTCCCATTAGTTCATCAGATAGCCAAGCAGCAGCTTTATGCACTGAGTACTAGTTCGGGGCATATAGAAATAATGCTTTGTGATAGTTTGGAGGCGCCCACAATTAAATGGAAAGGGGAGCAAAAGACAGTTTTCCTGCTGTTGTTTGAGCAATAGTGCAGTTAGTACCAGTAGGTACCAGAGATACAAAGTAGGCAGGGTTCCTGCTCTTACACAGCTTGCTGTCCAGGGTAGAGACATGGCACAAAGGCCCTGAGCTGGGAATAGAATTGACACTGTTGATTAGAAAGGCACCCCTGTAGGAACACGCTTGGGTGGCTAGATGCCTATTTACGCATGGATTAAATCCCTGTGGGTCAGGGACCAAGCTCAGGTATGATGGCAAGCACCATCACCCACCAAGCCATCTTGCCAGCCATGAATGTTAGTGGTTTGTGCATGTGTTTGTAGTGCCTGTGGAGGCCAGAAGAGGGCGTTAGAGTCCTTGAAGCAGGTGTCTGTGAACTGCCTGTGTGAACAGCGTAGGTCCTGGGAACTGAACTCTGGCCCTCTGGAAACACAAAGGGCTCTTAACCAGTGAGCCATCTCTCTTGTTCTCAAACTTAGGGTTTTTATATTAAATGATTTTATGTTGAATGTATTGGGAAGCTATCTCAGGGAAATGGCACTGTCTGGTTTTTGTTTAGCTAATAAACACAAGTGGCTGTGTGGTTGCAGAAAGGCTCATAAGGAAACCACTACACTTAGCCAAAGATGATGACATTCTATGAGGCTAGAATTCCTAAGGTCAATCACGTCAGACCAGACCTGTGGATGAGAAGATGTTCATTAGGATATTGGTTCTCACGTTCTGTCTGTCCTAAAGGTGGGGCTGAGGGAAGTAGCTAAGAAAGGCCTTATAATTTGAGCTAGAGAGTGCAGGGTTAACTACCGCACCACTTCTCGATCCTATAACAATTCTCCCTCAGGAGTAGAACAAAATAGTTGCTGGAGAGTTTGGTGTTGAATCTGACGGCCATTGGCAGTTACACAGGGTTTGTTGTTGCCTGCAGAAGTTGGCTAAGTGAGGCAGAAGCAAGGAGGGGACACCTGTGAGGGTAAGCAATGTAATGGCTTGAAGTTCCTGAGCTGGAATAAAAGTATTGGGCTTAGAATTAGCAATACTCAAGGTGTGTTGGGGTTGGGTGTGAAGCTAATAAGCGCCTTCAAATGTCTAACATCAAGAACTATACAGAAGTGTATAGGTTATAATAACCCAGGCAAAGAGACCCATGCCTATAACCCAAGCACTTACAAGGGAAAGTAGGAGGATCTAGAATTTAAGGTCATTCTCATCTGCAAAGTCCATTGGAGGCCAGCCTGGATTACATGAGACCCTGTCTCAACATATAAAGGGGGAGGGGAGAGTGTACCTACTTCTGTTTGCCTGTGTATATTACTGTGTGCGAGTATTCCGATCTATTGAATATACACTTCCCTGAGGAGCATATGTTTCAAAGTGGGCTGTACTCTTGCTGACTTGATAATCTAGTGCTTTCTGTTGATGCAGACAGACAGTTCTCTTTGGTTGAGCCGCCGTTGAGTATTCCTGTGTGTTTGGTAGTGAGCCCGGCCCCACCTGTACCGTTGAGCATTCCTGTGTGTTTGGTAGTGAGCCTGGCACCACCTGGTTGATGCGCCTTTGCATTACCTTGAGTTTTTGGGGTCTCTGTGGTGTTAACACAACAGTGAAATGAATAGCGAACACTGCTTCTGAGAACCTGAGGTGGCAGACAAGGAATTCAGATTACTGTGCAGCACAAAGCTGTGGTCTGTTGAACCCCTAAGGGAACCATCGGGAAAACTGGAATTCTGCAGTCTCTTGCAGTAGCAACCTTAGAACGCTGGACCTGCCGATGAGAGTAGTTGCGGCTATCAACTGCTTTCAGACCTTAATCTGTCACAGCCAGCTGGAATGTGGAACCTGGGGAAGCAGGAGGCCTACCGGGTGGGAATGAGAGCACACACACTTGGCTTAGTTCGCTACAGACTTTTGGATGAAGAGTAGTGGGGTTTTCACCATTCATTTGAGCTCAAGTGCTGTGTGCAACTAAAAATAATCACTGTGGATATTCTGGTGAGAGACTAGAGCTAGAGATGTAGCTCAGCAGCAGCTGATTGCCTGGCGTGCACAAGGGCCTAGGCAGTTCCGATACCATAAAACAACCAACTGAAGACTTAGGGACCAGCGTGAGATGATACAGGTTGGGAGGAGGGGTGTCTGAGGCTGGAGACAGTGAAGAAGTACTGCTAGGTAGGAAGCTGTGCTGCTGAGGCATGTCCAGTGGGGAATCGTGTACAGCTAGACGGTACCTGTGGATCATCATGGGCTGTAGGAGAGACTACACTGTAGTCGCTCTGGCGATCCATGCAAGGTGGTGGTGATTGTCATGGAGGAATAGGTGCTTGAATTTGGAGACAAGAGGCCAGTCAGTCTGAGACTTGCTTCTGGAAATGGCCTTTTGGATTTCATGCAAAAAGCATATCTAGGTGCTTAGGATAGAGCAGTACACAAACAGATAAATTTTCCTTCAAACAGTTTACGTTTTAGTGCTAGAGACTGATCATATAACTAAAATATGTCTAGTAAGGTGGGTACTAACTAGTGTGACATTAGTGATGGAGCCTGTGATGTGTCAGTGGTGGGAGGGCTGGAATTTAGAGTGCCAAGACTCCCTACATCACAGATGTGATGGCAAGTAGGAATCCCACAGGAGAGGAAACAGTCATGTGGCTGATAAAACCAGAATCCGGTGGGCCTGAGGAAGGCAAAGGCCAGAATGAGCGAGCCGCACTGACAACTCAGGTTAGATGGTCCATCAGACCAGTGTGCAGCCTGTGTGTTCTACGAATGGTGCTTCAGAGTGTGACATTGGAGGATTTTGTTGTTGACATTTTTGTTTTAAATTACTGTGTATGTGTCTGTGGACTAAATGTATGGGCCAGAGGCTGGAGTTGTGGGCAGGTGTGAGCCACCCAACATGGGTGCTGGGAATTGAACTCAGGTCCTCTACAAGAGCAAAGTATTCTCTTAACTGCTGAGGCACTTCTCAAGCCCTTTTTGATTGCTTTTGAATCAGGGTCTCATGTAACCCAGGATGGCTTCCTACTCACTGTGTAGCTCAGGCTGACCTGGAACTCTTGTTTCTTTTGTTTGGTCTCCCGGAGATAGAATTACAGTGTGAGCCATAACTTTGCATTTTTTGTCTGTTTGAGTTTTGAGACAGGGTTTCACTTTGTAGCCATGGGTAGTCTGGAACTCTATGCTTTCTGAGGTGGCCCTTGGACTTAGAGCAGTCCTGCTTCTACTTCCTGGGTGCTGTGATGACAGGCTGTGCCGCCATTCCTTACGTGACTGTTTTGCCCAGATAAATTTGGTTGCTATATTAATAGCCTTCTGGGGTGGAGATGGGAAGCGGAAGTCGGGGATGGCACAGGTTAAGAGACCAGCTGAAGAGATCGTTGCTATTTCTGGGCAACATAAATAGCGGTTTAGACTGGACCGTGACATGGTAATGGTGAGGAGTAGACGTGAGCAGTGGGGGGATGGGTCCCAACTCGCAAGGTGCAGGCCCCAGAGTGGGAGCAGATCATTATCTGCAGAGGGTTTGGGGGAGTGGTGTCTAGGTAATGGCCCCACTGGAGGCTGTTGGGATTGAAATGTGGCCTAATTCTGACCTCAGGTCAGGCGCTAAGACCACAGTGGGATTGATTATGCTCTGCATATCATAGGCTCCGAGTTCCAGGTCTGTACCACTTTGTTGACTTTTATTCTAAAGCCACTTAGAATAAGGGTTAATTTGGAGCGAGAGTTTATGTCCCGTGCTGTTGAACTCACTTAGGGTTCAGGGGTGTTGAGGCTGCCTGTGTGAAACCTGAGGTTTTCTCAGGTTGGGAATTAGAGTCAGTGAAAGATGGAAGAGGCCCTGATGTTTGACCCAGCTCTTTTCCCCCAGATGGCCCACTGTGTGACCTTGGTTCAGCTGTCCATTTCCTGTGACCATCTTATTGACAAGGACATCGGCTCCAAATCTGACCCACTCTGTGTCCTTTTACAGGATGTGGGAGGGGGCACCTGGGCTGAGGTGAGATGGACTTGAAGGTTAAGGTCATTGAGGGAGGGCAGGAGTATGTTTGGGGTAACAGGTTTGTAACTGATGCTTAGTGGTCTCTTCTCACAGCTTTGCCGGACTGAGCGGGTCCGGAACTGCTCAAGCCCTGTGTTCTCCAAGACTCTGCAGATTGAGTACCACTTTGAGACTGTTCAAAAGCTACGCTTTGGAATCTATGACATTGACAACAAGACACCAGAGCTGGGGGACGATGACTTCCTAGGGGGAGCTGAGTGTTCCCTAGGTCAGGTACGTAGGCAGGGCCAGGAACTGAGTGTGCTATGAGACCTCAGAGCCCGGGTGTGCCAGCCACGCAGGACCAAACCCTGTCTGAGGTGCTGAAGCCTCTCTCACCTCATTTTTCCCAGATTGTGTCCAGTGGGACTCTGACTCTCCCCTTGATGTTGAAGCCGGGGAAGCCTGCCGGGCGGGGAACCATTACAGTAAGGAATGAACCCTGGATGGGGAGCAGTTTATGAAATGAATAATTCATGAGGTGACAAAGTCCTCCCTACCTAGGTTTCAGCCCAGGAGTTAAAGGACAGCCGTGTAGTAACCATGGAGGTGGAAGCTAGGAACCTGGATAAGAAGGTGTGTCTGGAAAGAGGACCTGGGGATCCAAGAATTAAGAGGCTGAGGGCTGACACTGGCTGTCTTCCTGAGTCCTATAACTGGGGTCTCTTTGGCATCGGCAGGACTTCCTAGGAAAATCTGATCCATTCTTGGAGTTCTTCCGCCAAGGTGATGGAAAGTGGCACCTGGCATACAGATCTGAGGTGTGACTCCTGGTATCGGTTGGGCTGGCATAGGAGAGAATCTCCAGGGGTTGTGATTAACAGGTTTGGGAGCCGAGGGAGAAAGACTTTCGATGGGTGGGAGGATGGGAGATCTTCATGGGCCAGGTCAGAGCTCATTACCCTCTGCCCCAGGTAATCAAGAACAACCTGAACCCGACATGGAAGCGCTTCTCAGTTCCTCTTCAGCATTTCTGTGGTGGGGACCCAGACACACCCATCCAGGTGAGGGGTTTACCTTAATAGATGGATCAAGGGAACAGATCCTGGGAAGGGACTTCTTGCTTGCCCTGTGTCTCTTTTATATACAGATTTCCCCCCCCCCCTTCCCCAGGTACGCTGCTCAGACTATGACAGTGACGGGTCACATGATCTCATTGGTACCTTCCACACCACTTTGGCCCAACTTCAAGCAGTCCCGGTAAGTGTTGACTGTTGACAGGGCTTCAGTGTGCCTAGAAGGCCGCTGCCCAGAGGAAAGTCTGGAGAGTTCAGCTGATGATGCAGTGCCCCCCCCCCCCAGGCTGAATTTGAATGTATCCACCCTGAGAAGCAGCAGAAAAAGAAAAGCTACAAGAACTCTGGAATTGTCTATGTCAAGACTTGCCGGGTAAGATGATAGACCATGTGACCCAGGCTCTTGAGTTCTGAGCCTTGGACTCCATGAGGCTAGCCCCTATTAGCCACAGCTTAACCCTGGTTTCATCTGCAGGTAGAAACAGAGTATTCCTTCCTGGACTATGTGATGGGAGGCTGCCAAATCAACTTTACTGTAAGTAAAGTTTGCATCCTAGGGGCAGGTGAACAGGCCTTAGGCTAAAGTAGCCTTTGCCTCCATTCTTGCTTTCTTTCCAGGTGGGCGTAGACTTCACTGGCTCCAATGGAGACCCATCCTCACCTGACTCCCTGCACTATCTGAGCCCGTCAGGAGTCAATGAGTACCTGACAGCACTGTGGAGTGTGGGCAGTGTGGTTCAAGACTACGACTCGTGAGTTTTGGTTCTGGCCCCTCCCAGGCCCTTTACACACTTCAGCCTCTAGACTCAAGACCCTCACTGCTTCTTTTCTAATTCCCTGCCCTCCAGAGACAAGCTGTTTCCAGCATTTGGATTTGGGGCCCAGGTACCCCCTAATTGGCAGGTAAGCCCTCTTCTTCCTTTTCTCTGTTGTTTTTTATATCAAGATCCTAACTCTAGAGTCTGTGGTAAATTTATTTATTGCTTGGTATCTAGCTTAAGGAGAGATCCAGGGGTTTGTTCTTGCAGGCAGGTCATACAGCAAGCGCAGGGCCAGATTGCTTCTGTGGGATTCCTGCCATAGATATGAATGCCCTTGTTTGGATTTTATAATTTTGGGGCTTGAACCATGGGCCTTAAACATGCTAAACATGCACTCTGTTGCACTTGGGTCGTTCAAGAGTGTGTTATTTCTTGGCACAGAAGGGGCTGGGGGTACCCGGAGAGATGGCTCAGCTGTTGAATCCTTGTTCTTCCAGAGGACCAAAGTTCAGTTCCTAACACCCACATAATATGGTTAGCTACCTGTAACTCAGCTTCAAAGGGCACCCAATTGCATTCTTCTGATGGCTTTGGGCGTGCACACACACAAACATAAATATAAATAAAAAATAAAATATTAGCTGGGCATGGTGGTGTAGACCTTTAGTCCCAGGGCTCAGGAGGCAGAGGCAGGCCAATCTCTGTGAGTTCAAGGCCAGCCTGGTCTTCATAGTGAGTTCCAGAATACCCAGAGATACACAGTGAAACCCTGTCTCCAAACAAAAACAAATGACATCTTTGCTGGGTGTTATGACTCATCTTTTATCTCAGCATTTGGGAGGCAGGTGGCTCAGGGTTCAAGACCAGCCTGGTCTACATAGGCCCTGTCAGGGGCTAAAACATGTTGTGCGTCCGGGGGTGGGGTGATGACACTCAGGTTGCTAAAATGTAGGGGAAGGTAGAAAAAGTCTCATTTTTTTCTTTTCATTTATTTATTTATTTTTTTTTTTTTGGTGTGTGTTTGTTCAGGTTGATCTAAGTATATAGAGATCCTGGCACTCCTCTGTGCTGGGATTAAAAGTGTGCACTCCTATACTCAGCCTTGTTTGTTTTTCTCTTTTTCTGATAGGTCTCACTGTATACTTCAGGCTGGTTTAAAATTGCAACCTTCTAGTCTTAGTCTTAATCTCCTGTGGGCTAATAGTGGAGGTTTGGAAGCCACACCTGGCTGAGTAATTTTCATTCTTGTCCTCAGGTCTCACATGAATTTGCCTTGAACTTCAATCCCAGTAATCCCTTCTGCGCAGGTAATCCCCCATTCTCCAGTGTGAAGCAATCTCACACCTGAGGAGTGAGCTTCCGTGGGTAGAGAAGACTGGGAGAGAGGAGTGGAGGTTAGAGCTGGCCCGGTGGACTCAATTCACCTTATTACTGAGATGATTTGGGGCAAGTTCTTACCATTGTGTGTGCTTTGGTTTTAAAATATATAAGTAAAATTTTATGGGCCTACTGGCAAAGCCCTATATTTCCAGCTACTCGGGAGGCTGCGGCAAGAGAATCAAAGTTCAAAGTCTGCCTGGGCAACTTGGTCTCAAATGAAAGCATGGAAAAGCCTGGATGGGCTACCATTGACCTGACTGTGCTCAGGATGCAGTCCAGAGCCTTATGTATATGAGTAAGCACTCTACCACTAGCCACATTCCTAGTTTAGGGAGATGTTTATGTGAACATCCCAAGTTTTTTCATAAAGACCCCAAATCTGGGGCTGGAGAGATGGCTCAGCAGTTAAGAGCACTGACTGCTCTTCCAGAGGACCTGGGTTCAATTCCCAGCACCCACATGTCAGCTTACAGTTGTCTGTAACTCCAGTTCCAGGGGATCTGACATCCTCATATCAAAACACCGGTGCACATAAATAAATCTTTAAAAATGTATCTTTAAAAAAAAGACCCAAGATTTGGGCCTTCCCGGCACTTCCATGAGAACACCTAGTTAACTTGAAAAATTTGACTTGACCTCATCTGATCATCTTACTTATTTTTATTATTCTGTTTTTTTGAGACAGCGTTTCTCTGTAGCTTTGGAGCCCGTCCTGGAACTAGATCTTAGGGACCAGGCTGGTCTCAAAGTTACAGAGATCCACCTGCCTCTGCCTCCCAAACTACTTTTTTTCCCCCTTCTTGAGACAGTATCTCTCTGTACCCTGGCTGGTATGGCCTAGAGCTATGTAAGCTAGCCTCAAATTTGTGACCCAGGCCAGGCATGCTGGTTTACTCCTTTAACCCCAGCGTTTGGGAGGGCAAGACAGGTGGGTCTTGCCTTGTGGGGTCAGTTGTCCCCCTCTATCTCTATGTAGTTCTGCGGATGGAGCTCAGGTCACTGGGCTTGCGCACCAAGCTCCTTTACCTGCTGAGTGAGCTCTCTTGCTGGCTCTCTTGACACTCATAGCAATCCTCAGTTCCAAAGTACTAACACAACCAGGCTAAACTACTTCCCCAGTTCAGAAAATAACTTTTTTTAAGTCAGTTTCTCTGTGTAGTCCTGACTGTCCTGGAACTCACCCTGTAGACCAGGCTGGACTCCAATTCAGGATTCACCTGCTTCTGCCTCCTTGGGACTGGGTTCAAAGGTGTGCACCACCACCGGCCAGCTCAGAAAATAACTCTCATTTGGGGAGTTAATTAATTCAAAATATTCTATCAAGTCCTGTCTTCTTTGCCCTCCTGTCTTCTTTGTCCTTTAGTTTCATTTGTTGGGTAGAGCCATGTCCTGGGTGGCAAGGATGAAATACTTCTAGGTTTCTACATCTGGGCCTAGATGGGAAGATATCAGGTCTAACTTAATCCTATGAGGTCGAAGGTCTACAACTTTATAGAATTTTCTGCTGTTCTTGTAGGCATCCAGGGTATTGTAGATGCCTACCGTCAAGCACTGCCCCAAGTTCGTCTCTATGGCCCTACCAACTTTGCACCCATCATCAACCACGTGGCTAGGTTCGCAGCCCAGGCTGCGCAGCAGAGGACTGCCTCGGTAAGAGCGAGCTGTGGGTAGCTGTGGCACCAGGGTGGCGATGTGTGTAATGAGGGCATCTAATCAGTGGGGATGTGTGCCTGGGAGGGCTTGGGAAAGAGAATTTGTCTCAGTCTATGAACTTGTCTCCAGCAATACTTCATACTGTTGCTTTTGACTGATGGCGCTGTGACAGACGTGGAGGCCACATGTGAGGCTGTGGTGCAAGCCTCAAAGCTGCCCATGTCCGTGATCATTGTGGGCGTGGGTGGGGCTGACTTTGAGCTCATGGAACAACTGGATGCTGATGGTGGCCCTCTTCGTTCACGCCGTGGAGAAGCAGCTGTCCGTGACATAGTGCAGTTTGTGCCTTATCGACGATTTCAGAATGTGAGTAGGGGCGGAGTTTGCAGGATGGTGGCCGTGGGGTTGAGGCCGGGTAGATAAAGCCTTTTCATCAAAGTCTGGCAAGGTTGAATTTCTGGTAAGATGTGGACACTTACAGGCTCTCATTGACTTTGCCTTTCTTCTCCTGACAGGCTCCACGGGAGACATTAGCACAGACTGTACTTGCAGAAGTGCCTACTCAGCTGGTTTCCTACTTCAGAGCCCAAGGTTGGGCCCCATTGAAGGCACCTCCAGCTCCAGCCAAGGGCCCTGCACAGCCCCCCCAGGCATAGGTTCCCTTGGAGAGTAGGCTATGGTCAGTCTATTTCAGCCTTTAGCCCACTCAGTCCTTTAGGCCGTGGACCAACCCTGCACATTTTTCCCATATAGTTGATACGTTTATACTTGCTTCTGCTATTGCTGCTCTTGACCAACCTACCTGCCCTGGACCCATCTCATTCAGGAAAGGCTAGTATAAAGATCACCCCTTTCTCGGGGTTACACACTGGTATAGACAGCCTTGCTTACTATGACCCGAGTCTTTGTTGGCCTTGGCCTTGTTGAGTGAAAGTCTGATAACCCTATCTATCCAAGCAAATTGGGTCTAATCACTAACATTGAATGAGACTAACATTGAAAACAAAGTTGGTATAAAGTAAGATAAAGTAAGCATGTGGTTGTCCCTTCCTCTGGGTGTACCTGAGCTCGGAACATGATCAAGATGGAAGGTGTTAGAGGTGGCGAAGCTGAGAGAGTGAGGGCTACTAGACCTCCTGTGCTAGGTTTGTTCCCCTGTTCTTTGGGAACATTTGTGTAGCCCAGGATGGCCTGCAGTTCACCATCTGCCTTAACCTCACGGATGCTGGAATGTGCTACTGTGCCTGGTTCATAGTCCTAATTTTTTTTGTTTTGCCTTTTATTTATTTATTTTTTTTGACTTAAGGTCTCATGTAGTTCAGGCTGGCCTGGCCCTACATGTGTAGACAAGGATGTCTTAAATTTCTGGTCCTCTTACCTCCATCTCCTGAGTGCTAGGATTATAAGCATGCCCCACTATGTACAGCTTAGTAGCTTTTTTATATTAGAGATTTAACATATATATTCATTTTTTAAAAACTTTATAGGAGGGACACATCTTAACCACATTGCCCAGGCTGACTTCAGACTCTTTGGACTCAAGAGATCCTCCTTCCTTAGCTAATGGAGTAGATGAAACTATGGTACACTTAGTGCCTGGTTTGGAAAAACAGATTTTCTTTTGCAGGGAGGAAGGGAACTTTTAAGTGCAGAATTAAAATTTCACCCAATCTGCCCGTCAGTCATGGTTGTGACTGAAGTATTTTAAAATTTGTTTTCTAATCTGATAAAACATTGTTTAAAAACTGGGTGTGGTGGCACATACATTTAATCCCAGCGCTCAGGAGGCAGAGGCAGGTGGATCTTTTGAGTTTGAGGTCAGTTTGTTCTACAGAGAAAGTTCCAGAACAGCAAGAGAGCAAGACAAACCCTGTGTCCAAAAAAAAGGAAAAAATGGTTTCAAATATCAGTATCTCATAAAAATAGTTGCCTGGGCAAGTGGTGCACACCTTTAACCTCAGCACTTGTGAGGCAGTGACACTCAACTTTTTGAGTTGAGGCCAACCAACCTGGTCTACAAAGCGAGGACTGTTACACAGAGAAACCCAGTCTCTGGGCAAGGGAGGAGGGGAGATAATGGGAACAATGATTGGTGTCATGGCTGTGATGCCAACATTGGAGTCAAGGCAGGTGGGTGGCTGCAGGTTTGATGTGGACTCACTTTATACTAGGAGTTTCAGATCAGACAAAAGAACTTTAAAATATCACATATACTCTTTGTATCTGGTTTGCATTTATTTTAGATGCCTTATCACAACTGCCTTGTCTCCTTTTCCAAGTCACCTTCTTCCCCAGATCTCACATTTTTAGTTTGAATTTATTTCCGTACCTACATATGGCTAGGTGTCATTCCTACCTTGACTTTTTTCTCAGTAGCCTCTTCATGGGCTTTGTCAGAGTCTTCATTCTGTTGTTCAAACTATTTTCCCCTCAGTTTTTACTGTTTCATATTTTTATATTCAATATGAAAATTTTATTTTTATATATGCTAATCTGCTTTTAAAAGTGTATCCGTTTATCAATAAATACTCCTTCAGTGGCTTGTTTTGTTTTGTTTTTGGTGCTGGGAATTGTGCCTAGGGCCTAAGTCATGCTAGCGTTGGGCTTTATCACTTAGCTTATCTTTGGATATATTACAGTGAAGACTATTAGATCTGATGAACATCACACCACATGTCCTACACCTAAGGCCCTAGAAATGACCAGTTGCATGAAGGCTACCAAGTGTAGGTCAGCTTTGCTCAAAAGGTGTCCTAGAAATGTCCAGGTCTTAGCTTCCCAGTGTTTGCCAGAGGAGAGTTTCCCTCTAAATCTGTACGTAGCAAGACCTGAGGACATTTCCAGGAACTGGGGGTAGGGACTGAGCATAAGCATGGCTTCAGCTGCTGAGAGTCTCCAGCTGAGATGCCTTGTGAGGGAGGCCCCATTCTTGGGCTCCTTTTCCCGAGTATGAGTGGAGCGAGTTGCTGCCCAAGTTTCCGTCCCTGTATCGAGGATCAAGCTGCATTGTGTACAGTGTGGAATGTCCACAACACTTTCTCTTGCACATGGTAGACACTGTAGGCACCACCTGCTGCTACTATGTGACTCTGGACTTCAGAAAAGGATGTGTTGAGGGCCATGTTGTGCCATACTGACCTGCCCCAGGCAGCCAGAGCTTGCCCCCAAAGGTGACCTCCCAGCACTGATGCACAAATATCAGTTCTCCTCCAACCATCAGCATTTTTAATTGGGTCCCCCAGTGACCCCTGTGGCATTGTCTGCCCACTCTGAGGTCTGCACGCCATGGGCACGGACTCGATATAAGCATGTGAAACGGGGATGGCCCCAGTTGCTGCGAATCTGAATCTTCACCTTGGGGAAGGCTGATGGAGGGTCATTCTGGGGAGACAAACGGATCATGCCAACAACTGCTCTCAAGACTGTCCTTCCCACCAATGTCCATTGCCCCACCTTAGCGCTCTCACCCCCAGAGAAAAACACACCTGTAGGTGGAAAGTTTGAATTTCCGATTTCTGCACATCAAAGGTGAATTTTCCCAAAAACACTTCTGTCTCATCATCAGCTTGGAGCCCCTGGAGGGGAAGAGTGTATGGGGGAACAGTGAGGTACAGAGGAAGCAGGGGACAGCTTTGTTCAGGGCCGTCTACACATCCACAGCTACCTGTGCTCTGGTTCATGCTCTAACATAGCATGTGTAGTATGGAATTTAACAGCCAGGATAGCCTAGCACCAGGGATGCTCAGGCAGGAGTGAGTTTAAGGTCAGCCTGGGCTGCACAGAAGGCCCTGTCTTAAGCAAACCAACCAGGCTACTAGAAAGTTGTTAGCAGGGCAAGAAAGATGTGGGTCCTCTTGCCAAGGACCCACATGGCAGCTCACAGTTCTTAACTCCAGTTCAGAGAACCTACCAGTATCTTCTGACTTTCTGGGGCACTAGGCATGCATGTGATGCACTACTTACATACAGGCAAAACCACTCATACTTAAGTCTTTTGTAAAAAGTAATGTGACTGAGCTTGTAATCGCTCCTTTTAGAGCACGATCATTCCCCTTCAGATGGGAGGAAACAACAGTACTTCATTGGTTTTGCAGAAGCAATGAAATAATACATAGAATACATAGAGAGCTTAGAAAGCCAAGCCTACTTACTCTCTGGATATGGTGATGCTCATTACAGCCTGTAGCGGCCCGCATGCGTATGTCCAGTTTACAGATGAGCAAACAATGACACGTACTGGCAATAGTTCTCACCACTATCTAGGGTTTCCTAAGCAGACGCTCCACCTGGTCCCCGCCCCACTCACAAAGACTGCAAAGTCCCGGGGTGCACTGCTGGCTCCTCCAGTGTGTGCCACGGTGGGTGGAGGATGCTGGAGGGTGACGTCGCTTAGCTGCACATGACCCGGTAGTCGGATCACCACCTGACCTTGGTCACCTTCAAAGGCCCAGCAGTTTCCAGGGAACACATCTGGCTGCAGGGGTTTAGACAGACTATCAGAACACATGACAAATCCAAGACCAGACAGTACTGAGAACTGGAGGGCAGCCTGAGCTGCTGAGCAAGACCCTGTCCTAGGGCTGCTGCTCAGCCCAGAGCTCTGCCTTCTTCTGCCCTGGTTCTTGCCTATCCACGTGAGGCAATGCTGAGTCCCCAGCACTTAGAGTTCTCTTCAGTTTAACGGCATCCTTGGCTTGGCAGGAACCTTCCCACACCATGCCAGCCCCTGCCTCCAGTGGGGCACCTTCTGAAGCCAAACTGACCTCAGTTCCAGTCCTCTCTCCCGGCTCTTGCCCATTGGCACCATCCCCAGCTCCCTGGTTCCAGGCCCACCTCCAGTATGACGGAGGGTGGGCGAGCATAGTTCCAGAAGCTCAAGCGATTCCAGAAGTAGGCAGTGTTGGCGTCTTCATAGTCACTGGACGTCTTCTCCAGGTCGATAGAGGCTCCTGGGTGGGCAGAAGTCACTTTTAGGGACTCCCAGGCTTTCTCGTCAGTGCCGTTATCTAGGTTCCAGAGTCTGCTTCTTTCCACGTGTCTACTACGTCTTACCCACAGAGCTCAGTGCATAGTCGGGTTTCCGCACGAAGTCCTCATTCAGCCTCTGGAACACAAGCTTGGCCACTCTCTAAAGGCAGAGGGTGGAACAGGAGCGTTGCAGTGGCCCTGCTTCTCGGTAACCCAATATTCAGATAGGACCTTAAGGGCCTTGGGAAAGAGTCCCCACAATGGGTATCGGGGGTGAAGATTCATCTCAGGACCCAGGATGTGCCAGTTTCAAAGCGCAGCCCTGTCCCCGAGTACCTGTGGAGGGGACTCACCTCACTGTGGGCTGCGCGCACGCTGGACACCTCCTTGTGAAGATTATTCAGCTCCTTCTGCAATTGCTGCAGCTGCTGGCTCTGGGAGTGCACACGCTGGTGGTATTGGCTGGATTGGGGAGGCAGGTGCCATGGGTTAGCTACCCATCCCTGTGCACTGTGCACGCCTTTCTGAAGGCCCCCAAAGAGAGATTTACAGAGCTGTCCAGCTCCCACCCCATCTGCCCTCTTTCACCTTAGAGTCAGCATCTCCTGAGGCTCCTGTTGAGGGAGGGACGAATAAGCAACCTTCTTCTCCCAAGTCAGCAAGGTGTGGCTAGACTCCCAGAACCTCCCTTTTTGAGAATTACTACCCTTTCCCTCCCATTCTGGGTTGGCCTCTGGGGATTGCACTCAGTGCTTCCTATACTGCCCCTCCCAGCAACCCAGTCATGCCCTCCCCTCAACTTCCACCCCACCTGGAGACAATCTCTCCAACTCACATTCTCCAAAGTGGGGACCAGGTACAGGAGACCCCACCAGAATACTAGAAAAAGAGAACGGGGCATCCGCTGATCTAAGGGAACCGGGAGGAAAGCAAGGGAGTTTGGGGCTGGGGCTGCAGAAGGACTGACAGTGAGAGACGAGACCAAGCGGGGTCACTAGAGTGGGCCGAGGGGCACAGGGACATGTGAGCTGAATTTAGCTGCAAACCTGCAGAGCTGGGGCCCCAGGGAGTCGAAGCTCCTCACCTGCCAGAAAGATGCTCAGGAGCGACAAAGAACTGAACAGGAAGCGGATGGAGCAGACTTCCCTGAAGAACCAGGATGGGAGCCTGAGGCCCTAACCCACCCTAGCCTCGACCCCGGGGTTCTAGCCTTGGTGGGACCCAGCCCTGCTGCCCTTCCCTGAGCCATCCCTGCCCATTCTTCCTCTGACCTGTACACACTGACCAGCGCGTCTCCTGCCACTGATAACAATACGCTCAGCACCTGAAAGAGGAGGCCTGGGGACGGGGACAGGAGAAACCTCTCAGAGAGGGCAAGCCATGTGGGTGAGTTGGTGCAGGTTCAGAAAGGCTCGGGAAGGGCCAGGGGCAAGGTCCTGGGACTCAGGAGGTGAGGGTGGGCTGGGAAAACGAGCCGAGGCTGGACTCTTGGGCTCAGGCTTGGGCAGAACTGGGGTTCCGAGTGCCAGGTCAGAGGGGATAGGGCTGGATTCTCGGACCCGGGCTCGGGAGGAGAACTGGGGTTCCGAGTGCCAGGTTCGAGAGAATGGGGCTGTCCTGGCTCGTACTCAGGAAGCTCTTGGACATCCGCGTGGGAGGCATCTCCTGCCTCAGATCCAGGGCCGGGAGAAGGTTGAGCTGCTCGTCCAAGACTACAGGAGATTCACCCGGTTCTGCGGGAGCCCAGGGCTCCATTGAGGTCTTGGGCACCGCAGTCCCGCACTTCCCCCGGGGCCCGGGCGCAGGCTCCTGAACCTAGTGCTAAACAGCTGGACAGCCTCTCTAACAGGCCTCGCTCCCGCGCCGGCGCTGCGGCGCCTCCTCAGCCAGGCCCAAACACAGGATCGCTTCCGCCCCCTCCCGGGACCGGCCAAGGCACCGTGCCCCGCCCCTCAGGGACTCGCATGGAGCGCGCCCCCTTCAGGGGCGAGTTGGGAACTGCACCCTAGTCCGCGCCGGGGCCCCGCCCCGCGAGCCCGTCCCGCCCTCTCGCCCCAGGGCTCGACCCCGCCCGCACCCGAGGCCCCGCCCCTCACGGTTGCCGCGCCACAGGCGGTCTGGCCATTGTGGCTCCGAGGCGCAGGCTTCGGCCGAGAGCTTCCTGCCCAGGTGTCTCCTCCGGGCACTCCTGGGCTTATGGCGGGCTCACCACAGCTCGAGCCCCGGGCCCTTCTGCCCTCGGGCTGCTCGAGCTCCGGCCCAGCGGACCGGCGTCCATTGCTGTCCCCCGAAGTCACGCTGTGGGAACTATTGCTGTTCTCGCTGAAGAAGTCGGGTGCGGGATTGGGAGAGGATGCGGCCGAGCCTGAGCGGGGGCTCCGCCGCATCCTGCCCTGGGGCTTCCCAGGGGAAGACGAAGTGGCCGCAGCCAAAGCCCTCGGCCCTCCCTCCGCTGCCGCGCGCCACGTGGGTCAGATCCTGCCTGAGCCCCGAGCCTCGAGGCCGACTCTGCCCACTGCTGCCGTCACAGAGGAGCCACGTCACAGAGCCGCGTGACGTCACTGGCAGCCA